ACAAAATGTATATAACAAGAAAAACACGGGAAATACGAACATCATTTGAAGTCGTAAGATGAAAAGCAGACAAGATAATTATGTAGAAGTAAAAAAAAGCTTATGAAAATGGACAATTTAAGAAAATGAAATAAAATTAAAAAAAAAACGAAATTAGAGAGGCTTAAGGATACCATAAAAAGTGGGTATAAACCACAAACAAGTGTATGTAAAGATAAAAGTGGGCGAATAATCAGTGACTAACAAAAAGTCACAGAACCCTGGAAGCATTATTTTCAGACTCTACTTGGTACACAAGTAGGCATGCAAGATAAAACGGATACAACCTACGCAGAAGAGAATGAAGTAGAGAATGGAGCAGAAGTTTTAACCGTAGAGGAAATTCTCAAAGCTATTAAGGCACAGAAAAACCATAAGGCCCCAAGAGTTGATAAAATACCAGCAGAATTGTATAAGGTAGGTGGCGACCATTAGCAAGTCACATCCACGCGCTTATCTAAGACATACGGCAAGAAGAGAAAATATCCGACGTTTGGAAGAAAAGTATAGTATGCCCGATCTATAAAAAAGGAGACAAACTCCAGTTCAAAATTTACCGAGAAATTTCTCTACTTTATACAGCGTATAAAGTCCTTACATATATTAAAAACCAGTGGCTCCAACCACTAGCAAAACATATTATTGAAGAGTATCAGACGGGCTTTCGATGGGAAAGATCGACACTGGATTATATATTTACAAACAAACAGATCTTTAGTAAATCATGAAAACATGACATTGATGTTCACAACGTGATTATAGACTTCAAACAGGCATACGACTCAGTCAAAAGAAGCAAGTATTGGCTGGATTGGCAATACCACACAAGCCTATTAGACTCATTAAAGCCACAATGGATGAAACTCAGGCATGTGTACGAATACAAAACCACGGAACAGACTTTTTTAAAATTTCTGGGCTGGCCCCAACTTTGTTTAGACAAACAGAGCATATTTTGCTCCCTCTCATATATTTCGGTCTAAAAATGTCCACCGAAAGACAAAGATGAGAATCTGTAAAACCTTAATTCGACCAGTAGCATGCTATGACAGTGAAGCATGAGTCCTGAAAGAAACATCCAAAAGCAAACCCGACATATTTGAAAGGAAAGTACTGAGGAGAATACTAGAACCTGTAAGAAAAATCGGAATCTTTAGAAATCGATATAACAACGAGCTTTATTAACTTTATAAGAAAGCACCACTGTCAGACTTCATTAGAATACAAAGATCGCAATGGGCCGGACATGTGATAAGAATGGGAGGATAGGCTATCAAAAAAAGTACTGAATGCTAGAATGCAGCGAAAGAGTCCGGTTAAAAAGCCAAGAAAGCACTGAGATGACACAGTCAACAACGACACATAAGCCCTTTTATGAGTCCGTGTATGGAGAAGATCAGCCACAGACAAGCAAGGGTGGAGGCAAAAAATAAACGCGGCCAATGCTTTATTTACGCTGTAGTGCTGTTGAACAAAAAGAAGTTTTACTTGCAGTAGGACAATAAAAGCCGCGACTGTACCATAAGGATCTTTTGATGCATCTGTGTAAAAATCTGTATACATTCGGCATTTGTTTATTATCTGTTTAATTATTTTATTATTAGGATATGTTAATTTAGAATATTTAGGTATTATTACTCAAATACTCAACAATAAAAAATATATGTTAACGTTATTGGTTGTAGGACTGAAGTCTACACTCTCTCTAAATCCTTCACATAATGGAAAGCAGTTTCTGTTTGTCCATTATGATCCTGTAATATCTTAAGTATTAAGGGTAGAAATTTGTTAACTAAGTGGTTAATTTATGACTTTACACCTGATTAGGTTTTACATTTACTAATTTTTAACAACTTAACAACATTTACAATTTTAAAAAATTCTTTAATACAAGTACAGTCATTCGGGTTAATTTTGATCCACTTTTTAAATATTTTCTTGATTTATTTTTACACTGACCTCCTCCGCTGTCATTTTAAATTATATTATGACTGTGTATACTTCAATAATCATTTACAAGCATAAAAATTTGCAACAGTAGCAAGTATAATCAAAAAAAATTTTTTTGGCATGGTTCAAAGTTAGACCCGCTATGAGTGTAACTTTAAATCATATCTACATTTATAGGAAAAATCCTATATATTTGGTGTTTTAAACTATCAAAACAACATTGCAAGAGTGCACTAGATTACTTCGGATGTACAAAAATTACACAGTTGTTACACAGCACAAAACGTTTAGCCCAGGCCTGGTTACCATTCTGTCTTATATGACTGTTCATGGGTTGATTTAACAATATGTACTCTAAAACTAATTTAAAAATATTTATTAGAAAACTTAAGTACTACAAAATAATATTAAATAAAGATTCTTCGTTAGTTTACCAATAGAAATATTAAATTTTTTACTCGATAGGTGAATCACAGTTTCTTTAAACAAGTGGCACAAATAAACATATTGGAATTTGACTTGTGAAATTTGTTATTTTCAATGCGGCTCAAATTGAAATATTTTTATTCACTTATATACACATATTCACTATATTTTACACCTAATGAATTCATAGAAACATTGAAAGTGCAAAAATAACACAATCCAGAAGATATTTCTTGATTTTTAAAATTAATAGCTTCTGCCAGATCCTTCTTGCTTTGAATTTGATCCAAGGAAAATGGTTGAGAAGAATGCGAAGTGATTTTCTGCTGATTTTCCAGTTAGCTACTGTCTTTCATCTTCCGTTTTTCGCTCTCCTCTGGGTTAAAATTTGGCGCCAATATGCTTTAAAACTGGTAAAATGTCCCACATCCAGCGGTTGCAGGAAGTGAGTAAAGTTTGGAGGGAAAAAAATTAAACAAACACTTGCAAGTGTTAACCCATTAATGCCTGAATTAATTTTTTAAGTTACAGTACTAATTTTAAAATATAGACATAAGACACATATTCTAAACAATTTATAACTTAAACTAGCACATCTGTTTAAATATTTTTTGAATTAGAGGCCGTGCCTTATATGGAACGCTAGGAATTTAAAGGTAAATTCATTAAAGGTCTAAATTTACACCTTTTGTCATCTTTGTGTAGGTTTGTGTTGTCACTGCAGTTCACGAATCTCATAATTTGGCCAAAACGGTCACGTCTCATAGCTTGATATACCATGTTATTTCTAACATTCTCACCTGAATCCCAAAACATTCTTCTAGAAGAAAAATTACAATCTCCAGAAACAATGAGTATACCAAGAAAACATCTTATTTCGCCCAACGTAATCTTTTGATTGGGACAATTTATGAATAACGCATATTTATTACTTTCGTTCCCTAAATATTCAACAACTTCATCAAAAGTTTTTTTTAAAATATATATAGATATTGAGTATAATTATGTTGTGGAAAATTGTTGTTCCACAGAGTACAATTCAAATCTGTATCTTTTGTCCAATTATATATTTTCTTTTCTTTATCCTGTTTAGTGTGAGAAGTAGTTGGTCAATTTTCTTCATGCTGTTTATAACTTATCCTTCTACCGCTTACGGAAACAGCTTCGACTTCTGCTTGTAACTGATGGCTTGAAAAATTGTCTAACAAACCTTCAGAGTCTTCATCAGCTGAATCGTCATTTGATACATTGTGTTCGTCCGGTGCTATATATTTGATTAGAAACATCATTCGACAGATTCAATGATATCCGTAAGTTCTTGAAGAGTCAAACTAAAAAGACAGACCCATTTAACCTAGAGTGTACGCTAGGTACATATAGAGATATGGTACGCTAATAGACACAGGCTTATAAAATAATTACAAAATATAATTGAACTAAACTGCATTTATCATACCATTCTTTATATCTCACGCATACAGAAAATAAAACGTCAGTTTTGAAAAATGTAGAAATTATTTACTTACTGTCGAGAACTGACCATTTTTATTCTTACAAATTTTTCAACACTTTTAAGGTTATTAAACTGTACATATACTGTTCATAAAATATCAATTAAGTGTACACCATCATTTAGGCAACATAAAAGACTAATGTTAGATGACGTTTGCAAACATCTAAAACTTTCAGAAAATCTGAAATTAATTTTTAGTTACAGTATCATTTTCTATAGCATATAATATGGCACGCTAAGTAATAATGGGTTAATGTCTTTATTGAAATATGTGCTGACATAATATTGTCGCGTATCAAGATCTTTGTACCTTCGTTTTTATTGGCGTACGGTAGAAAATGTGTCTCAAACCAGTCATAAAATACAGAATTTTAAATCCAGCCCGATTTTAAGGTGTTCAACTTTGTACAATTAAGTGCACCAAAAATCCAATCCGACCACTTCAGACTACCTTTCATTATTACATATAGTGGTAGAAACTCTCCATTTGCATTTGCACAATACAAAGTGGTAAAATAAGATCCAGAGGGAATCATAAGGAGGGAATCATAAGTTCGTTGAATTTATGATTCCCTCTGGATTCCTAAACCCACTTCTGAATAAAAGTTTTCTTTTTTTTTGGAATGTCATAGAACCATGTTTCATCGTAATTGTAAATATTGTTGGGTGCGATATCAGAAATTTCTATTTCTAAGTTATCAAAAAGCTTACTTATTATTTCTTTATTTACTTGAGCCCTCCTTCTCGAAATATTCTTTTAAAATCTTTGAGCAAGCTCTGTGCGGTTTCTCTCCAAAAATAACTGGCTTCAATCCCAGCCTTGTAAATTTTCCTTAAACTGTGATACTTTTCTCCCTTGAGAATAAAGGTAACTTTGTGCAAAGCATCTCAAATCAAACCAAGATTCCATTATCACTTAAAGAAATAACATACTTGGCTATCGACTTTTTTTTTTCTTGAGAAAATACTCTAGGTCTTCCTGCATTTTTTGAATAATTTCGTTTTAATTTATTTCGAATTGTATTACGCGTATTGAACGATATTGTATATATCGTATTGTTTTGAGGCCTACCTTTTACTCAGAATTCCACTTGTAACCTGTTCTAGTACTTTTTGTAGGTGTTGCTCTGTATATCGTCTTTTAGCTCTATACCGACGGACCCCAGTATGTAGACTGTGTATCTGTTTTTCGGGGCATTTCGGGAAATCCTAAACTACAAAATTACAAAATTTAATTTAATAAATAAACTTTCCCGCCATATAAAATCGTCAGGGTAACTTTGAACCAGTTTCAATGTGGTGTAAACTTAGTCTGAAATCATATACATTATCAGGCCGGCCAGTTTTTCCTGCAATTCCGGGTAATGTTAACCCTGGTACATCACACTTATTTTTTAAGACATGAATTTCACACTCGAGTCTCAGAAACCCAAAGCTGTTTTTTAGGAAAAAAACAAAAAATGTGAATATTTGATGGATTTGGGAGAATATCTAATCTTAGAATAATTTGTGTAGAAAAAAATTTAACCATGGTGTGGTATTTCACAAAGAGATACATTTCTTGAAATTCAAACATAACATAAAATAATATTCAAATATAAAATATTGTTATTAAAACAAATAAACATTAAATTAAAATTATCATCTACAAAATACACCTGTATAACTATCCTTGTAACAAAAAAATAAACTCTTTTGGTAATATAAGTCTTAGTTATTCTTAGCCAGGTCACTTCTGGAAATATCTTACCTCGTTGTTTCACTAAAATGCAGCGGATGATCCGTATTCTAACTCGGCTTACGAAAGACTGAATTTACATAAAGTGACGACACACATAAACCACTTATGCGCATGTCACATTACAAAGAATGACTCTCTGAGTTTCTGAGACCCAACAGTGCAGTTCCAGGGTTAATGAAACTTGAAGCTCTGATGTACTGAAGATGATCCTAAATCATTAATAAAATACTTAAAATAAATACTTAAAATACTTACTTTTTCGACAGAATCGCAATAAGTAATTACTTTGAATTATTCTTTACAACAAAGTACTTTACAAGCCGTATAAAAACTCAAGATTGACACAATACAACATATCAGATGCCTTCAAACTAAACGAAAATGTCAATGACAGAGACATCTGTTATAATTTGTCAAGATTAAACAGTTTTAACAGCAAGAATACTATGTATACTTATTATGTATACTAAAAATGAAGTAAATGGTGCAAAGTTAGACCCTGAGGATCAAAGTTACCCCGAATGAAGGTAGCGTCCCCTCCAACTCTTACAAAAAATTGCTGTACCCCACTGAAAGTCCAAGATTAACTCTGAATGGCTATAACCATTTCTTGAAATTAAGTGCATACAATTTTAAACTATACCTACTATAAAATATTAGGAAAGAACTCATTTATACTACAATCTTTTTTCATTTAAAAATAAAAATCCCAAGTAATGAATTGATAGCGCCAGAACTAAAACGTTTTAGAAAAGTCAGGTCTGAGCTTCAGGTAATGGTATTAAAGTACAAAATCGATAGGAAATTCTACGAAGCGTTAAGTGCTTTATTATTGAAATCATTAAAGGTTAGAATTGTAACGTTGAGTTAACCGATAGAGATTCGAACTTAAAAAGAGTGATTAGTTTGAGATTATGCCCTCATGTTAATTTCCCTTGCACACTGTAGATTTTAAAAATCTTTGCCTAAATTACAAAAGTATATTCTCTTCAGTGAAATAGAAATGTTTAAATTTCTACCACTACCGAATGCCTTCGACCCTTCAGCAGTTTTTGACCCGTCTGTATACCAGGTATAACCCTGAAGTCTAAATCAAGTAGGTGCTCAGCTCCATCTCTCTTGTGGGCGAATGTACAGTTGCAAAGGTAATTTAGACCTATGTCTGGGAGTCATATGGTCAGAAATCATGACCCATTGGGTATCCCTAATTTTATTTATAATGGTAATATGTTTCGATCTACTCGATATGTTGTTCAGGTTTTATGATAGTTTATATTATCTTATTCTCACCACCCCCTTATAATTATATGTATTAAAGGGAGGTCAAGTAGGGCATTTATCGCTGCCATTGATGTGCTGTTGCTCCTCATAGCCCCTATTTTTCCGAAGCAAGCAAGTCTTAGCAACTTGGTTAGTTTGAGGATGGAACTTTTTTGCTGCATCTTTAGCCAGCATACCACTGACATACGTGTTATAATTATAAATCCAAGATGTCTATTTCATGATATTTGCAGCTAATACTTACATTTGAAGTCCATTCTGTAGCTACATTCAGAGCCTGTTGCATTCTATCTGACTATGCTATTAAATTTACCGTGCGTGACTAAACTGAACTAGGTCATCCGCATAATCCAGAACATGATGCCTACATACTACAGGTAAGTATAAATATCAGAATGTTTTTAGGAAAAATGTATTACCAAAAATAGAAATTAAATTTTTGCGCCAAGCTCGTTTATATTCTTGATATCGAACTTGATTAACATGAGCTTGAAAAATAATTACTCTTTAGGAATTCCATTTCTCTATTTTAGTTCTTTCTACCTAGGACTCTCTCTATTTTATGCTGTTGGTAACGATATTGTTGAGGCATGTTCCTGAATATTGTTCCTCTGTTTTATCTAAGGGTTTTTTCTTTCTTTCTTGCATTTCCTAATTCTTCATAGATTTTTTTCTTTTATCGGAAATTGGAAATCACTATGGCAATTCCGACTTCATTTAGTGATATCCATAGTACTTAATTGAAACTTACATTATAGTCCAGTTCTGTTGTAAGAGATTTGACATCTAAAAATTTTATAAAAAAGCTTAATTTTGTTAATAATTTTAATATGGGTCCCTAAATATTATACAAAAAAGTTTACTACTCCTTCCTACGGATTCCCCCTAAAACCTCCATCGCAGCGGAAAATAATCGAAATGTAGCTTAGATAATTTTTAACAAAAATGTTTATTAGCACTTTTTTCGTCGAATAATAAAATAAAATAAATAAAATTTATAAAGGGTGCAGCTTTTTGAAGAAATCTTTGTAGTTTGACACAAATAAAAAATAAATAAACGTTACGCGATTCTTTACAGTTTTTACGATTCTTTCTCATGAGATCAATATAATGTATTATTAATGCTATTGACCGGTCGTAGTGAAATTTTTAACCTCCCCCCTCCCCCGCCAGATGGACAAAACTCTCTACAAAAAGCCCAGAGTGAGAAGAAACTCCAAATTCATAATACACACACAAGGAAGATAGTTCGTAGCTCAAATCACCCAGAATATCGCACATCGCCTCGTGGGCCCACAGTGGGTCCAGCTGCTCAACAAGGATACAGTCTCTATTGTGGTATTGTATAATATTTTATATATTTTCTTTATAATGATATAGACTATATACTAATTATAATTTTTTTGGCCCACAGGTCACCTACAAAAAAAATTACAAAAAACACAAAAAACCTGCTTCGGCCACCAAAGAAAACTATCAAAAACCCCAAAACCCGGGCACGTAGAGCCCAACCCCCTTGAGCCCCAAGTCGGCGAACTGAGCTGATACTCAGAGCGGAGACTTGAGGCCCAAGTAAGCAATTTTAGTTCGCGGATAAGCCATATTAAGATAACAGGAATATAGTGGAGATGCGCTGTCCTGAGTTTTTGCATTCGGTTAGGAAACCATGTTGGGGTTCTATTACCCAGGACCTCCACATGAAGAGCATTTGGCTGATTGTTGTGCCTCTATAGCGAATCAGATTGCTATAGGGGGAAAGGGATGGTCTAAAGCATTGGAGCACGGTGGGGTGACTCCTGTTTTTACTCGAGTTAACACACCTTGCTCCAATGAATTGTTACACCCGATCGTACTACTTAGGTCAACATTTCTCATAGGCTGGGTTTAATCAAATTGCTTGCTTGCTTAGTGGAATTTTTATTGTTAAAGCCTAGCTTTTAAAGCTATGACATAAAATTTCAATTCTGAGTTTTGGTAAATTAAACTTTCACATTACAAACAATCGCCCGTCACGAGAAATCATCTACGAAGAAGATATCAAGTGAAATTTGTAGATAAAATTGTGTAGTTTAAAAAAAAGTACTTGTCTAATCAAAAAGAATTATTTTTAAATATTTTGGATTATTTGTAATATAAAAGTTTAAATTTAGCGTTTTTAGGCATATTTTAAGTGCCTCACATTTATTGTCAACACTCAAAATTGAAATTTGATGCTATAAGTTTTAAAGAATAGACTATAAAAATAGAAATTCCGTACTGACCAGTCAAAAGTAACAAATTTTATTAATCTCATAAGAATCGTAAAAATAGCAAAAATCTAGTAAACTTTATTTATTGAACACATTTATAAAAACTGATTTTATTTACGGCAAAATACAAGAGTTGTATATGAAAGCTGCTTCCTTCACATTTAAAATAGAATTTGATTAAAAGATATCGGATTTTTAGGGCCGAGTTGATACAAATTTTGTTTAAAATTGATTTCGCGTGCGCAACTCACATTTAAAACCGCAGGTTGCCACAAGCGTTGTTTCTGAGAGAACAGTTTATTCGATATAAAAAATTCCAATAAACATTTTTGTTTAAATTTTTTTACAAAACTAAGACGATTGGCAAATGAAGGTACTAAAAAAGAATTTGATTGGTTCATCACAATAAGCAAATCGGTTGCCACTAGTATTAAACCCAATCTTGAATTTGATCGATTATCTAATCAAATAGAATAGATTATCGATTGGAATTGATTATGGAATCTAATCGAATCAAATTGAATCGAATCGAATTAAATTAAATCGAATCGGCTATCCAATCGATTATCAAATATAATCGGTTATCGAATTAAATGGATTACCGAATCAAATCGATTATCTAATCAAATAGTATTGAATATTGAATCGATTGTTAAATCGACTAAAAAATTGAATTAAATCGAATTAAATCGATTATTTAATATAATCGATTATCGAATTGAATGAATTATCAAATCGAATAGATTATTAAAACAAATTGATTATCGAATCGAATTGAATCAAAGATCGAATCTAATCGAATCGATTATCGAATCAATCGATTCAAATCAAATCGAATATATTATCCAATGAAAACAAATCGAATAGATTATCGAATCTAATATCAAATCGAATCAAAGCATTTATCCAATCGAATTGATTATTGAATTGAATCAAAATACCATAAAATAAAATAAAAATAAATTAAATAAAATAAACCAGAATAAAACAAAATACAATTTAATTTAATCGAATCGAATTAATTATCGAATCAAATCCATCATCGAATCAGAATTGAATCGAATCCAATAAATATTAAACATAACCAAATATCGAAGCAAGTCAAATCAATTATCGAATCGATTATCGGATCGAATCGAATACAAATAAAATAGAATGGTTAACTAATAAACATTTTTAAAACAATATTTTTTGTGTTGACAAAAAATTATGGCAAATTATTTGATTGTATAACTAGAAATCCAACTAATTATGCTTGTATTATATAGGATTCTAAAAAACAATAAATGTATCGTTTTGTTGTAATTTTAAATGTTTACATATTTATAAATTTAATAAACAATATTGTTTACTATTTAATCCACCTTGCAATAACAGTATTAGTTTAATGCCATAAGCTTTTTCCTGTGGCTAGGATACTGGCATTTGTCAGATTCGTAAATAATTACATAAAATAATTCTCGAAACGTCATAATTAATGAAGCACTTAAAGAAGGCTCTGAGAAGAACCATTAGACTAAACTAGTTATCATGCAGAATTTTTTACGGAAAAGGCAAAAATACAAAAAAATGACTACATAGTCAATTACTCAAATCTTTTCTGCATAAAAAAAACTATAAAAACAAAATTAAACAAAAAAACTAATAAAAGGAAATCTTACTGGTTTGCTGTACACAATATTTTAAATAAATTTACGGGGAAGTGTAAAATGGTATCTATATACAATGGTATGTTAATTATTAATATATAAGTATGTATGTATATATTTAAAATGTATGTATATATGTAAAATTTAATAAAAAATGACTACCATTTCATGAGAACATTTTCAGTCTAATCAGAGCATCATCAGTAACACATAGTTAGAAATTGAAACTAGCCACTTAAAAATCTGTAATAACCTTTTTATTACGGTGAAATGGGTTTACTGTGGATGTAAATTACCTAGCAATGTTTCTAATAGATAATTATAATCTTGCAGTGTCGCAATATTTTCCACTAAAAAAATTTATTATCAAAGACAAAAGATTTCCGGTAAACTGGTTTATTGGCAACTTAAAAAATATGAAAAATAATTTGCAAACATATTATATAGAATATAAAAGATATAAAAATCATTACAATACTGAGTTGAAAAGAACGAAAAAGCTGGCATATGATCAATTCATATTAACTTCAAAGAGTGGATCCAAGACGTGTTGGAGGATAATTAGCTATGAGCGAAATAAAACAAATGCTTTACATAATTCAACAACCAACATATCTTGTGATTCTCTTAATAACTTTTTTGTTGAAATTGCTACAAATATTATAAAATCTCTTCCAAATATACCAGACGACACAATTTGGACTATAAAAAATTTCCAGCTCCATCAAATTCATTTTTTCTGTCTCCAACCAATCCACAAGAAGTATCTACAGTTATAAAAACATTAAAAGTTTAAATTGTTCATATACAAATGAGCTAAACGCATTCTTTATCAAAAGCACTAGTGAAATAATTAATAAACCTTTAACACATTTCATTAATAGTATTTTTTCAATCGGGATATTCCCAACTTCATTTAAATACTCCAAGATTGTTCCTATTTTTAAAAATGGCGATCGTGGCCTTGTAGACAATTATATACCAATTTGCATCGTTTCGATATTCAGTAAGGTAATTAAAAAAATTCTTAAGAAGCATCTTATATCGTACTTTGAAACAAATAACTTTTTTACTAGTTCACAATATGGGTTTAGAAAGGATCGTTCCACAACACATGCACTTTTAGATGTGATGAGTACCATAGTTGATGGCCTTGAGAAGCATAATCACTCTGTCATAATGCTGTATGATCTTTCAAAGGTCTTTGACTGTGTTTCACACGATATTTTGCTGAAAAAACTGCATTTTTACGGTATAAGATGTACTCCTTTGGAACTAATTTCATCGTATCTACAGAATAGATACCAAGCAGTCAAGTACGTAAATTGTCTCTCTGAATTTAAGCAGATAAAACATGGAGTTCCACAAGCATCAGTTCTGGGCCCTGT